CCAAAACGGCACCCGTCAAGATACACGCTTGCGAAGAGGACTTTAAATTGAAGGTTATCAGTCACGCAGTAGAATACGGAATAGAGCACCTACGAGAGTAATGAATCAAGTGTACGGAAGTGAAGGAAGCCAGAAAGTGACCTGCGCCAAGCAGAGAAGACCAACCAGAGTTTCCTAGGGAACAAATCCAGATAGTCATTTTTTAGAGGAAAACATTTAGCAGTGGGTTGTTGAATCGAGAACAGTGTTTCATTTTACGTGTTGCAACCGAATAGGGTTGGGAATTCTTGTGAATACACTCAATAACGTTTGAACAATGTTGAGAGTTATCGTGAATAGGTTCAATGAAGTTTGACTCACTGCCTCCTCTCTCTGTTTTGTTTCCCTTACTTCGCCTTCTAGGCCTGTGTGCTTTATATAAGAAAAATGTTCGAAAATAAACCATTCATTGACAATGCGCCTTATTATCCAGCGCGCCCTATAATTTGCAAAAGACGGTAGTACTCTAACAGCGTGCCAACAACCAGTTCACCGTTTGCAAACATATATCTCATACTACGGCCAGGTCTCGTGAATAGATTTACACTACTACGCACGAGCAAGTTTCCGACCCTGCATTACCCTGCTGCGGGTGGACATTGTCCGAATCGATGGTTAAACTGTCGTGTGTGTCTGGGGGTTTTGGTGTGCACATAGAACACCACGAACGTCCAACTAACTCCCGTGTAGTAGCACAACATAAAAAATACTCGAATGACGACTTTAGTGCGCACCGAGTCCCGAGTTGCTGCTACAGGCGACACCGACCACTGGCCTGGTCAGGGCTGACTTCGAGTGCGTCAAATCCTGCTTGAGAGGGAGAGAGACAAGCGGTGGCATTACATTTGATAGGTTTTTGGAGGCACATCAAGTGTTGTCTGCATAGGGTGTGCTGCAGTACTCGAGGCTGAATCGAACCATACTGCATCGACGGAGGGGTAGAATGTTCAAGTGGCACATGGACGGGCTTGACTATTCGGACGCAGGTGCGTTCGGACAGAAGGTGGTTGAAGAACTGCGGATCAGCGAGTCTGTCTTGGTGGGTTAATTTAATAGGTAAAAACCTTGCCATTACGATCTCCAGGCCCTGT